CGAGTGTGGGAACTGGGCGAAGCGTTAGCCGTGATTTCAGCAGCGACGACACTGTTGTGATGCAGCGCTTTGAAAGTTTATACTTATTTCACTGTCCTGACATTATTTCTCGAGCTACGTATTTCATTTTTATAGCAATGTGTTCGCAATAGAAAGTTCTATAAGAACATGGGTAGAATTGGCCAATAGTGTCAAATAAATTTGCGGCGAATAAAATCTTAGGCGTGTTTGTACCCGTGAGCGTAAAAAGTTTTTACTTTGCTCATGTTTTTTCAAGTTTATACTTGTTTCACACCGGTTTTTTTTTGTATAGTGTTCGGAATAAAATTCTCTACACAGACATATGCATATAAATGTAGAATAATGATCGCGGCCAACACAAGAGTGTGTGGAGTGGGCGATTACCCTCGTTGTGTCACCAACTCAATAGTCTCTCCTCTAAGTTACAATACATTGCCGTTTTCTCAAATAGGCACTGTGCTTATTAGAGAAAACGAAAATTTAATGGCAAACATATTCATACAAACCCCAAGTCGATCGAGTAGTAAATACCCACTATAACACGGTCTGTAAATTTACGTCGTGATCCGACAAACGCTTATCTAAACCGCCCATAATTCCAAGTGGAAATGGCAGAAAAGTGTCACCAAAACCTAGAAACGCCAGGTACGGAGGCAAACTACAAAACAAACACGAAAAATGGACATTACAACAAGTACATGGACATAGAAAGACTATACAGTGACACACACTCAATAAACACGCACACCAGAAAGAACATAATAGTGGAAACAAAACAGTGTAAACAACCCACACAGGGCAAAAGCAACGGCCCACGCAGGAGCCAGGAAAGCATACCTCACACACACACACACACAAAACCGAACACACAACCACAGGAGCAACCACATACGGGCCACAACAACCACACACACACCCCGCCGAACCCACCCGAGGAGGCCCACTGGAGGACTGGGGACTGAAGACAAAAAACGCAGAAACCCCACCCACCCAAAAGCATCCCCACGAAAATACCCACCCGTGAACCAACCGCAAAACTCGCGCGGAAAAGCACGCTGCACCCACCACCTCGTAAACCGCAAACAGCCCCGCAAAAACCCCAAACCCCTAGCAACCCCATAACCTTCCCTCCGACCCACCCACACACAATACACAAAGTCAGCAACGAGAAGACACAATGTATTGCGCACCCGGCGCGATCCCTGCGGAAAAGACAAAAACAAAAATCTCAAAAGGCCATCTCGACACCCCGGCCCACAAACCTCGGCCAACACGTCACGAAACCAAGCAAGCAATCCCCCTTAACCGCGCACAAAAATAGAAGACATGCAACTGAGTCTCAGGGAGACCACAGTGCACACACGCATCAGAGGCACGCAAACCTAGCATGCATAACCGCACATTCGTCGCCAACGACAAATGCAATAAACGAAACAACAATTCCCGCTGCTGCGGCGCCAGAAACCGAGCTCCCAACGCCGCCCACACCTCCTTCCAATCCCAATACTGGAACAAACCCTCCACCCGCGGCGGAACAGGACGAAATAAAACCCCATGCACCGCCTTAACCGACAAGGACAGAAAACCTGGACAACGGCAGACCTCCCGAAGAAGGGCCACCGCCCAAGAGTAAACAGGAGGGGTGCAGAAGGCCGCCTCCTGACAAACACCGAAATCCACCAAAAAGCTAAACCTAATAGAGCAATAATAAATACCCAAAGCATTGAGCCCCCCACCCAGCACTAACTCTTAACACAACGAGACCCAGAACAACGCCCGAGCCCTAGTAAACACATCAAGAATACCCACCCCACCCACCCGTACAGCCAACACCAGCGTCGACTGACGAACCGGGTGGTAACAACCGCACCACACATACCAATAGACCTGGCGTTCCAACCCCAGTGCCAGCTGGCGATCCAGGGAGAAGCACCGAGCCACGAACCAAACTCGCGACAAAACCTTGCAATTAACAAGCAGCGCCCGCTGATAAATGGTCAACGCGCGCACAGCCAACAACCCAATCGCAACACTGACACTACGGGAAACTGCACCCCAATTACAAGCCAAAGACCTCTCGTAGGAAGCGAACCAGGTAAGCCCCAAAACATGCAAAGAAGAGACAATCGGAAACCAAAACCCCACCCACACCAGGCGAGAGGACCACCCACCGAGACCCAGAAGACTGGACTTCTCATGATTGACCCGGGCCCCAGTGGCCAACTCAAACCGCTCAACCACGACTTGAACAGTCGCATATGGGCAACCGAAGACCAGACAGTAGCTGGGGGGGGGGGGGCGATCAATGGACACGCCTTGACTGCCCGAAAAAAGACTCCTGAGAGATGACATACAGGAGCATAGAAAGTGGACAACCCTGCCGCACCGAGCGACGTACAGGGAAAGAATCACTCAAAAATCCATTAATGCAAACCCGACTACAACATTGAGCGTACAGCATGCGCACCCAACGAACAATCAAAGGCGGAAACCCCAGCCGCTCTAACACACGAAACACAAAAGCGAGCAACACACGGTCGAATGCCTTCGACCAATCCAAACAAAGCATCGCCGCTGATGAGCGAGAGCCTGACACGTACAGGAGCACATCGCGAAACAAAGCATTGCATTGCAACAAAGACCAACCCGGAATGCCACAAAACTGCTCCACTGAGACAACAGACACCACAACACTGCGATAACGACCAGCCAAGACCTTAGACAGGACCTTGTAGTCCACATTCAACAAAGTAATGGGCCTCCAGTTCGAGAAGAACCGCAAATCGCCCGGCTTCGGGAGGAGCCACACAATCCCCACGCACTGAGTCATAGGCAGAACGCACCCCCGAAGACAAGTACAGACCACCTCCAGAAGAACATCCCCCAACAAATCCCAAAAGGTGACATAGAACTCAACAGGAAGACCATTCGAACCCGGCACCTTCCCGGAACGAAACGACCGGACACCTCTTCCACCAGACCAGCACAATCTGCAACGGACAACCCAGGCACGCACCGACCCAAGAATTCCTCCGCAAGCGCGGCGTCCCCAGCCACCTCCACATAGAGCGCAGCCAACTCCTGCCGAACATAATGCAACACACCACCCATATCTGAAACAACGGAACCATCCGGTCGTTGCAGGGCCGTAAAAAGAACTGAGTCTCGCGCAGCCCGTACCTTCCCAAGAAGAAACGGAGAGATCTGTTCCCGGTCCACATGCTCACTCACACAAGCACACGCACACAAACGCCCTCCACCCACTCACTCCGCAATCCACAAACACGCGCCTTACTATTCACAATCTTGTCAAAACAATCAGCGCCAGCATTGTACCGCACATACAACCTCGAAAGCTGCGCCTGTAACAACCGCAGCAAACCAAAGCACCCAGCAGCCTCGCGTTTAGCCACCACGCAAAAGAACAAACGACACTGCACCTTACACCACTCCAAGATAGACGGGAACGCACACTGCCGGGCCCGAACCCCGACCCACTAACCCCGAAACTGACGACAAACCCGCGGACAACGCAACAACCCACAGTTTAACTTCTACCACCCTGCACCAACCCACACCTGACTGGGCACACCAATCCAGACCACCACCAAACTATGATCTGAGAACGCAACCGGGACAGTGCGGAAATCAAACACAGTACATTCCCCTCCAGTGACATACACCAGTTGATTGACAGTTGAGAGGCGGGACCAAAGAGCCAAAGCTCAACCCCCGCAAGCACAATTAGGTGAGTACACCCTATCCAGCCGCGAACGCACCCCACGTGCAGGAAACGTAAATGACAACTCGCCCCCAAAGAGCACAGCAGCGTCCCGGAAACCGCAGGAACGCACCACCTCCAGCAGCGCACTCGAAATATTCTGTGGACGAGCACTACAACAATCCTGCGCACTCGTCACACAATTAAAATCCCCCCCAAAAATCATGCCCAGCGTATCATGGCGCAAAAAGGGGAGAAGCCCCACCCGAAAAAACACCTCCCGCTCCCGATGGCACGCTGCCCCCCGAGGGGGCGTATACCGTCAAGAACGGAATGACGACCCCCAAAAACTACACCCTCACAAATAACACCCGCCCATCCTCGTCCATTTCCGTGTGAAGCACGGAGAAGGAAGCCCTCTGAGAAAACAGCATAAGGGTCCCCCCGAAAGGTATCCTCGGCAGGTTTAGCACCACATGAAAATGCACACTAAAACACTGCAACACAGACACATCATGAACATTATGCTCTTGAATAAGAGCCACATCCACACGTTAATCCTGCAGAACATCCAACAGGCCTAACTGGACCCCAAGAGCATTCAAACCCCGAACATTCAAGGATGCACATACAACAGAGGGCGCCATCGGGACAACCTCAGGAAACCCCCAGCCCGTTGCGACCCACCGGCCGCACATCAACCTGGACCCCAGGGCAGGCACAGCGATCGACATCAGGCGCCGCATCGAGCTCCATGAAGGAGCCCTCCACTGAAGCCTCAGGGCCCCCGCCAACCGGAACAGGAGCCGAAGCCCCCCGACTCCCATCCTTAGATAATATGACCACCAGGTCCCGATCACCAGGGGCAACCACCCACGAAGGGGAGCCACTGGCAGGGGACACAACTTCCACCACGGATGACACCACAGAAGACGACACGGCGACGTCCACACCCTCATCCTCCATTGCATCATGGTCCTCCACCCATGACCGACGGGGCGACTCAGCCCGAGCTGAACGACGGCGCTTAACATTAGGTTGCTGATCGTCGGAACTATGACCCCCAGCAAGGGGCGCCCCAGAAGAACCTGTCACGGGCGGTCCCAAAACCGAGGTAGCACGCCCACGCAGAACAGAAGCCTCCACAGCACGGGGCAAAAGTCCACGACCACACCCGAAGACAGAAGCCGGAGGAAGAGTAGGCCCAGCAGGCGGGAGAGCACACTCCAGCACACAAGGGGCAACCAACTCGGACGACATGGCAAGCGCAGGTGAAGACAGACTAGAAGGCGAGAAGACCACTGAAGGCGACGAGGGAGTCAATGCAGGGACAGAGAGCGGGGAAGAGGCAGGGGAGAGGGCACACTCAACACAACCCCGGCAACCTCGGGAAGCAGACAACCGGTGGCAGGGGAGGCAGGCACCACCCCAACAGCAGCATCCAAGGACCGCATGGAAGCAACCGGCCGCGGATGCACCTCCGCAACCACCGAATGGAGAACACCCGAGGCAGGAACCCCTAGGCCCACAGAGCACACCAGTGGGTCAGACTTACCAGGGCCAGACCAAGCAGAGCCAGAGGGAGCACCCGCCGAAACCGTCGCAGGAACCACACCAGGCACCGGGTCAGAGCGAGCAGGCCCCGAGGAAGCCCCACTCTCATCCAAGCAGGGGAAGTCACTCTCCAAAAAAACCGTGGGAGCTTCAGCACGAGGAGCGTCACATCCGGCCGCCATATGGCCCTCAGCACCACACCGGAAACAGGTCCGGGACTGGCCCTGATAAAAGACCCGAAGCGAGAGCCCACGATACAAATGCCTGGACGGAATAGGCGATGTAACCCGCATAACAAGTGTACGAGAGCCCGTACGGAGCCCGCTCAGCCAGCCCGGACTCAAAGTGTTGAAACGGTGAGCCACTACCGTGCCATACCGTGCAAACACCGCCCTCAGCTCGTCCGTGGGGAAGGTCACCGGCACGCCATGAATGCTCACAAATTGCACGGCCCCCCAGGGATCCGAAACGTCTACAGACACAGCCGAGGTAGAGATGGGAACCGACCGTCCAGCCCAGAGCCACAAACTCCCGGTACAACAGACCCGAGCGGAAGGACACCGCCACCCGAGAAGGAGAGAGCTTTTCCGTCCCCAACAAATCCTTAACGTTCAGCTTGAGCTCATCGACGACTGCAAGTTCCACTAGCGTCCAATCCACAGCCCTAGAAAAATCGAGGCACGCCGTGTCAACCCGCCGAACGCGGGAGACACCACCAACAACCAAACCGCCAGCCGGGTCCACCGGCAAGCAGGCGCACCGCACCACAACCCACACCCGCCTCCATGCAACACCAGGCGACAACTGGCAAATCAGGGGGGGGGGCACGTCCGGACTCCCTGGTGGTCGACGAGCGAATCCTAGTAAAGTAACTTCCTTGGTTAGTATAATTTAATATTCATTAGATTTTCCTATAGAGGCAATGATGTGAATTATTACTTGTACTTAACTCGGGTAGCAGCTTTTACCGTGCTCTGGGGTTCCACCTCCATCAAACCCACAGTTATATCTATGCTTCTGCCATGTTGTGTCTGTCTGTTCCCAGGTCAGATTGGTACACCAAACCAGCTGGTCCAGCCACACGTGAACCCTTGTCTGTAAAGACCGAGGAGGAAGGCACGTTACACAAAGCCTTCCCCCCCACCCACCAGACCCAGTAACCCACACATCAGTTACTTTTGGGTGGGTGACTGTCCAACAGTAACCCGGCCAACACCTCACGTCACTAACGAGGTTGTCAGGGCCAGCGGGCCACATTGAAGCAGTCACCGGATGTCAACGTCTAACACCGTGGGTAGCTGTCTCGAGGGCACCACTACCCATCAGCTGCATCGTTGACAAGACTGCAGCCATACCAGCAGTGTTTAGGAGAGGTCAAGAGAATAGGCGAGCCAGTAGCAGTACTCAAGAACTTTCGTCGGAAGATTAATGATTACGTCGTCTGAGTGACAAGGAAGTGGAACTAAGGCGGTCACAGGTGGAAGACACGGTCTCCCAACAGAGTTCCGGGACTTGCCATAGAAGGTCGCAAAATTGCCTCCTTTGGCCTAAAGTCAGCGGTACGAGGGTATACACAGTTGATGTTTGCGGCCTAGTAACCTCATGACATCAAGAAACGCCAGAGACGACGTCAGCTATGATAGAAGGCGGGATCCACCTGTTCTGCAAACAAGCCACCCGCCTTAACGACCCTCTGACACCACTACTTTCACGAGACACCGTTAGTACGTCCAGTCCTGCTCTTCTGTAGTCATCTGCACCGTCAAGTTTACACCAAGACTGCCGTGTGAGCTGTGATTGGTATGAAGGCGTGTGAACTGTTGGGAGTCAGGTCAATGGTCGAGTGACAGTATTCTACAGCTGGCACTTGGCGCTCCGCTCTGCTACACTCTGTCGTCATTCAAGAGTACCGGGAAGGGAGTACAAGAGGACCAGGGATCTACATCAACGCATGGAAGAAGCAAGATCGTCATCGACACCATTGACATCGACTACATTCAGTTCATCATCATCAATTTTTTTTTATAGTTTAAAAGAACAATTGAAAAAAAAATAAAGTGAAGTAGGCTCTGAACACCTTTAATAAACGCATCTGGACACTTCTGTTTAAATGTTGAAAAAGAGATTTAGAATCAAAATTATTCTGGTATAGTGAAATGGGGAAAATTCTCCTATATAACTTGGTCACTAATTAAAAAAAAAATCCTGTGTGATTGTCTAAGCCCAGAACAAACGGTTATGATTTTGAACACAGTTTTGAGCACAGGAGGGGCGGACCAATACAAACACTGACACTCTTAAATTGAGTGTGGACACTTGGCTGCACAGTCGGCTGTAATCTGTGATTTAGTTGTAGTGAAATTTTTAGTTATATGTAATAAAAACTAGGTTGTTTTTATTGGCAGAATGTCAAGGATGACATTGGTTGGGGAGAGGATGGTACACCATCCACTTGAACTTCGTGAAGTTCAGTGTTCTACTCCCGGTTGACTGGAAAGTTCAGTCTGTATATATTTGTTGTTTGTTTTGAATTGTGTGTCCGGGGACACACGAGGTTAGTTAATGAAGAGCCAAGGAATTTTAATAGCTAGCTTCTGCTGACAGATTAGGGATATTTTGTTTAGCTAGGTCAGGCAGGTGTAGGATGTATGTTTTCAGGTGTTGGATGATTGCTGTCAGTTGACAGTCGGGATTTTGATGAAATTAGTAATGTTTATTTTATGATGTTTGCTGTATAATCTGATGATTGTCATTTTATTAGATAGGGTAGCTTTTTGCTTGAGGCATGGGTTTATTGATTGTTTAATTAAGGGTTTGGATACTAAACCTCATTTTTTATGACATTAAAAACAAGGTTTATTAAAAGTACTTATGCGTGGGGGTTGTAACAGCTGAAGCTGTTTTAAATAAGTGATTGTATGGAAGGCTGTGGCATACACCCTTGTTCAAAATATGCAGTGACAAGGTAGTTGACCTGACTTTGCAAGCATGGGTTATCTCTCCTAGGATTTAGGGATTAACACCTTTAGAATACAAGATGGCCATCTCCTTTGTTTATAAGCAACATATAATATGTCAACAAGATGCAGTAATAACTAATTTGGCTTATGTCGGTGTGTTAGGTTTACATGTAGGTAGAAGGAAGGTGGAGATCAGGGTCGTATACAAGCAGAGAAATGACGGCATGTGGAGGGACTAGTTTGGGTCCTGGTTGACTCACCATGACAAAGATCACGCGGCCCATGAGTGATAACATTAGTAATTCACAAAGTTCAAATTCAGATCACTAGCAAATACTGTAATTGGAAATAGCCTTTCCCTAATATGCCTGTACAATTACCATCAGTTTGATAAGAGTTCAACCAGCTGGGTTGTTCAGTACAATAGAGATTAGTTGTTCAATTTAAACCCTGCTTAGTAAAGTTATTAGACCTGGCGGAGTGATACTCACTAGCATTCCATCGGCTGGTTCCATAGTCAAGGTAAAAGTTGCTGAGTTTTGTTATAGGGAAATAATTCATTCGTGCCTCAATAGGGAATATTAAAAGTTTTAAAAAGTGTTGTTTGGGAGTGTTAAGTCAGGGAGTGATTTTTATTAGTTTTTTTTTTAGATTTGCATAAATAAATGATTAGATTGTCCCTCTGTATTTTATTATTTCCATCAATAACTTTGCATGTGTTGATATCCTTGCCATTTGGTCTCCACGAGTCTGGATTTATTTGGGTTGTAAGCCTAGCCCAGTTTAGGAGCTAATATATCCCCTTGTTTTCTGTAATTCCCCACTTAACGTAAATTCATCCCCCCCCCCTTTTCCAAGTAATTTGGGGATTAATGTTCAAGGGTTAAATGATTGATTAATTGGTCCAGACCCCGATTAATTGACAGCTTTTGGTTAATGGTCTGGTAGTGGCGGCGTAAAGAGATCCTTGAGTTTTCAAGAAACCTAGTACGACGTCACCTGCCTGTAGAATCTTAGCCGATCAAGCGGTTAAGACCACGTGGCGTGGGACTTGGCTGAGAGTTAGCTCTGGGAGTCCCTTGGAATTATGTTTAAGTAAACATATGCACAGGCCGGGTAAAGGACAAAGTAGAGCCAATACCTTTCCGTGTTAGAATAATTTGATTTAATAAATTTGCACAGTGCAGCATGATGCTGTCACGTCGCCTGCTTTCTGAGCAATATACAATCTGATGAATTCAATTCTGCTTTCTTTATAATAAAATATTTCTCTTTATGGCATCATGGATAATAGCTGGAGATGTGGCAAATTTTAATCCCACTAATCCCATATACGGTATTCAAAATTATTGGCTCAACTAAAACTGGCAAGTAGAATAGAGGACAACAACATAGAATATATGACAAAGATATTATTATCTTTTGTTTGATTTATCAAATTAAGAAGTAAACTTAACATTCCGTTTATTGTAACAATAACAAATCATTTGTCAAGTTACCTATGGATCCGTGAATGAGCGTACTGGCCGCTCCTATTTCAAGCCAAGAATATTTAGAAGTATTATTTATTAAATATTAGGTATTAATAAATGTTGATATTTGAGTGAAGTCTTTCGAGTGCAACACACATCCCGACTTACCACAAGAAAGTTCGTCGGAGTTATCATTGCAGTCACGTTCGCCATCACACATCCAGATCATGGGTAGGCATTCAGAACCATCCAAGCAGCTGAATTCATCCTCAGCGCATGCACCTATGGAGAGAAACAAAATTATTGATAAACACGCTTTACCCAGCAATGCGTTGTTGTGGTTCAGCAACGCATGCACGTTGCTGAGCCACATCAATCCTTCCCTGTCCGTCAGTCCTACCCACCATTCCTCCATCCCCCATCCCCTCGTCCTCCTAACCATTTCCAATTCCCCCGTCCCCCTCGTCCTCCCAACCATTCACTTCTCCCATGTTTCCTTTTCCTTCCCACCATCCTCCACTCCCCTGTCCCCTCGTCCTTCTCACCATTCCCCCATTTCCCTCGTCCTCTCCACAATCCCCCACTCCTCCGTACCCTCGTCCTCCCCAATATTCCCCCATCCCTGTCCCCTCGTACTCCCCACCATCCCCCACTCCTCTCTACCCTTGTTCTCCCAACCATTGTCCCCTCACCCTCTGCACCATCACCCAATACTGTCCCCTTGTCCTCCCCACCATTCTTCACTCCCTCAACCGATGCGTTCCCAAATGATCTGATGTTCCCATCAGAAAAATGAGAACAGTTAAAAAAAATCGAAATGAAAAAAAAACGAAAAAATAACAAAA